GAACTGGACTAAAATTAGATAACATAAGTCAACGACAATGGAAAAAAAAACAGTGTGTGGATAATTGATACAATAACAGTGTACGGCAATATGAGGATTTGTGTGCACCTTGAAAGAAGACAGTACCGAGGGAATGATTTAAAGACGTTATTCTAACTCTTACTTTAATTCTAAATTCTTTCTCTTATCTATGTGTCATTTCAACTTGTTTGCCTAATAATATAGGCTTCTAGCTATTTTGATAAGGGATTTGTTTCCCTAGGCATTCATATACCTGTATCTTATATAAACATAAACAGTTGAATTACTCTTATCAAATGCCTACTAACGCCTATATATTCTATCTCTGCCATTTCCTCTGGCAGGCCAAAAATAAGTGGTTGAGAAATGGCACAAAATTGAGAACTAAAATCTTTCCGTAGCATGCTGACCTATTGCTCTGTTGTAGTCAGTGTTGTACCACAAAACCGATGGACAGGACTTTAAAAACTCGATAGACGTAAGAGTAAAAGCTCCTCCTGTTCCATCTAGAAAATATCTTTTTTCTTTTATTGCTAAACAGAAAGCAAACTTTCATAATTTTGTAGCAAGATCAAAAACTCAAAATCTAGCGTGAAAGTCGCTAGAATGGCAACACCAGCTGTAGTGTCGTAAGCCTAGGTCATCGGAGGTTCGTTTCTCTTATGTTAGGTCTAACTCAGTATGGTTTAGTAATATTGGATTAGGGTTAAACTCAGGGGAAGCGGATGGTGACCGACCCCTTTTGAATGTGTAATAAAGTAGCATCGAACTTACTAAGCTAGCGGATCCTGCTATATATACTAGCTTAAAATCGCTTAAACCCTTAACCGGCGAAAACACACACAATTTCCTTTTATACACAGTCTCCTGTATACCTTTCGCCGATGCACGTTTGTTTCTGAGGCATGAATAACACTCCATTCATACAATCTTCATAATTCTTCTTCCTCTGGTGAAAGGATTGCGTGAATATTGCCAGATCTGAGGCAACAGGAATCCGGCAAGACTCGAATCCTATCAAGGTATCTTATTTCACTGTTATTGCTTTCCTCGCTCGCTCTCTCTCTTTCACTTTCTCCCTCTTTTTCTCTCTTTCATTCTCTCTCTCTCTTTCTCTTTCTTTCATTCTCTCTCTCTCTCTCTCTCTCTCTCTCTCTCTCTCTCTCTCTCTCTCTCTCTCTCTCTCTCTCTCTCTCTCTCTCTCTCTCTCTCTCTCTCTCTTCTTCTTCTTCTTCTCTCTCTCCTTCTCTGTCTCTCTCTCTCTCTCTCTCTCTCTCTCTCTCTCTCTCTCTCTCTCTCTCTCTCTCTCTCTCTCTCTCTCTCTCTCTCTCTCTCTCTCCCCACGTGCAAAACTGACCTTGCTTTTTCGCGAAATCTGGTCCGTCTTCCGGGATTGTCTGGTTTATATATGTTTTATGTCAGAAGCAAATGTTAACATAGAGAATTGAAAGAATCTCCTGTTTTATATGCCTGTTTATTTCTTAATTATATCTTTGCTGTTGCTGTTGTTGTGGACTGATTCGTGAAGAAACATAGATATTCCGGGAAACAAATATCAACATTGAAGAATTTCTTGTTTTATAAGACGGTTTTATGTCTTAATTATATATCTATCTATCTATTTATATATTGTCTATCTGTCTATCTATCTATCTATATATATATATTGTCTATCTGTCTATCTATCCATATCTATCTATATATATTGTCTATCTGTCTATCTATCCATATCTATCTATCTATCCATATCTATCTATCTATCTATATCTATCTATCTATCTTCTATCTATCTATATATACATTTGTATATTGTCCCTGCAGACTGATTCACAAGGAAATACATTCTGGCAGCAAAAATTGTATGAAAAGATAGACGCATTGGGATGTTGCAAGGATATTGCACTTGTTAAGAGCTAGTGCCAATGTGCCTGATACATAATACCACGAAGAAATAATTGTGTGTTAGGGAAATACGCGTTTTATCACTACGCAGACATGTAGCGCTCGTGAATAGCTATGCAAAATGTATTCTTTCATATGCATATCCTCTCATATTGTAAACTGTCACTGCATATTCTGGGAATTGTATTGAATTCAAAGGTATGAAAATAAGCACTCTTCAGCATATATTGCACTGTGAACCCACACGCTAACACAAATGAACACGGAGATAAACACTTCAAAATGTGTACGCAATTCACACGATACGCAGTAGTAGTAGAAGTATTTAGTAGTAGAAGTATTTAGTAGTAGAAGTATTTAGTAGTAGAAGTATTTAGTAGTAGAAGTATTAGTAGTAGAAGTATTTAGTAGTAGAAGTATTAGTAGTAGAAGTATTAGTAGTAGAAGTATTTAGTAGTAGAAGTATTAGTAGTAGTAGTAGAAGTATTTAGTAGTAGAAGTATTTAGTAGTAGAAGTATTTAGTAGTAGAAGTATTTAGTAGTAGAAGTATTAGTAGTAGAAGTATTTAGTAGTAGAAGTATTAGTAGTAGAAGTATTTAGTAGTAGAAGTATTTAGTAGTAGAAGTATTTAGTAGTAGAAGTATTTAGTAGTAGAAGTATTAGTAGTAGAAGTATTAGTAGTAGAAGTATTTAGTAGTAGAAGTATTTAGTAGTAGTAGTAGTAGAAGTATTAGTAGTAGAAGTATTTAGTAGTAGAAGTATTTAGTAGTAGAAGTATTAGTAGTAGAAGTATTTAGTAGTAGAAGTATTAGTAGTAGTAGTAGAAGTATTTAGTAGTAGAAGTATTTAGTAGTAGAAGTATTTAGTAGTAGAAGTATTAGTAGTAGAAGTATTTAGTAGTAGAAGTATTTAGTAGTAGAAGTATTAGTAGTAGTAGTAGAAGTATTTAGTAGTAGAAGTATTTAGTAGTAGAAGTATTAGTAGTAGAAGTATTTAGTAGTAGAAGTATTTAGTAGTAGAAGTATTAGTAGTAGTAGTAGAAGTATTAGTAGTAGAAGTATTTAGTAGTAGAAGTATTTAGTAGTAGAAGTATTAGTAGTAGAAGTATTAGTAGTAGTAGTAGAAGTATTTAGTAGTAGAAGTATTAGTAGTAGTAGTAGAAGTATTAGTAGTAGAAGTATTTAGTAGTAGAAGTATTAGTAGTAGAAGTATTTAGTAGTAGAAGTATTTAGTAGTAGAAGTATTAGTAGTAGTATTAGTAGTAGTAGTATTAGTAGTAGAAGTATTAGTAGTAGAAGTATTAGTAGTAGTAGAAGTATTAGTAGTAGAAGTATTAGTAGTAGAAGTATTTAGTAGTAGAAGTATTAGTAGTAGTAGTAGAAGTATTTAGTAGTAGAAGTATTTAGTAGTAGAAGTATTAGTAGTAGAAGTATTTAGTAGTAGAAGTATTTAGTAGTAGAAGTATTTAGTAGTAGAAGTATTAGTAGTAGTAGTAGAAGTATTAGTAGTAGAAGTATTTAGTAGTAGAAGTATTTAGTAGTAGAAGTATTTAGTAGTAGAAGTATTTAGTAGTAGAAGTATTTAGT